CCCACTGCCCCGGGACAAGGAAACTCGCTGAGCTCTGGTTTCGCCTGGCCGTAACCCTGCCCCGCACAGGCACATAGAGAAACCTCAGTGGGGACAGTGCTGTCACGTCGGAGGGAAGCGCCTGGGAGCAGGACAGCGGGTTCACGCTGCCCCAGCCGACCAAGCGTTCCTCCCCGGAGGATCGAACCTGTGGAGCAATCGCAGAAGCAGCACCTCACGCCGACGTCCGCTTGGTGCTTCCCCTCGAGATCTTTGCCCATGCCCCAAAGTGCGTGCGTCATTTCCTGTCCCTTCTCGCTTCTGCCAATCCCTCAGCCCCAAGTGTTGGCTCATAGGCGAAGGGCTGTAACCCCCTGCCAGCTGCTAGGCCTTCCTGAGCCATCCCGTTGTCACAACTCTGTCAAACCACTGCTGAAAAGCTGAACCAAAAAAAAAAAGTCTTTCCATGCATTTTGGTTACCAGCTTAGTCTCTCGGTTTGGCTGAAAATGAGCCCACCGAGGTTCAGCCGACCTTGGTCCTACCAAGGACCTCGTCTGCCCGAGTCTGCCGACAACGTCCGCGCCCCAAGGGCTGCTTTCTGCAACACAGCGTGCAGGAGCCCTGGCTCCTGGCCGGGACACTGCGTTGTGCCACGGGAGCACCAGGGGCTGGTGCAGCTTCGGGAGCTCTTGCTCCCCTGCCGTGCCCCACTGCACTGCGCCGACATCTTTCTGTACTCCCAGGCATTAATTTACAGAGGGAAGAAAGGGAAGGACTGAGGGGCTTTATCTTCCCTTCCCCCTTCATGGCATTACCGCCTGCTCAGAAGTGCTACCACCTCTCACATATCTCAGCAGAAGACCATGGTACATTTTGGGCATCCAGGACTCTGGATGCTGGAAAGACGCTGTCCTTGTGGGAGGTGGGGACCAGAGGGCTGGGGTAGTGGGGAGCAAGGGGGTTAATATGTTAAGGTGTTGGATGCACCCGGACAGCCCAGCTTGCTCCAGGCAGAGACTCAGTCCCTCACGTCTGCTGGATCAGCTCCCTGAAAAGCTTCAGGCGGCTGGAAAGCACCTGGTTATGGGGGGTGCTTGGAAAAGGCCTTTCGCTTGTTCATTTTAAACTGCAGAATTATCCTCTATCCTTTCCGAAGCCTAAAATGACAGGGTCCTCCTCTGTGGCTCCTAGTCCACCTGTGTTACTACCTGCTGCACAAAATATTTCCATCCATTAGTTGGTGCTTTCTCTGCCAGGGGTTTCCCGGAGCACAGGTTTCAGTCCGAGGGGACCAGGGCAGAGAGGGGCTGCCAGGAGCCCCGTGCGCACTGCGAGCGCTGAGCTGCTCCAGCTTAGCCTCCTCCTGCCGCCCAGAGCGCGGCTTTCCCTCTTCTGGACATGCCCAAGGAAGAGCAGGTTTGACGGAGGGATGCATTACTGCCCGCGCACAAGGCAGATATCTAGGCAGGATTCCTCAGGCACCTGTGAGTAGCAGGCACATCTGGAAGAAATGGTATTCTTCTTACAGCTCCAGCAGATTTATACAGCTCAGGGCAATTCTGGAACTTTACAGTGGCTCCGAATGACAAGATGACATGTGGAAAAAATAGCAGCCAACTTGAGCAAAGTTTCCAAATAAAGACACGGCTGCATGTGCTACATCTGGGGCAGAGCGAGAGGTGCCAAAGCCCTCTCCTCGCAGCAGTTCCCAGTTGCAAAATCTGTGTCAGCTCTCTGCCTGCATTGTGTCATCAATATAATTAGCTCTTTCTATTTTTTCCCCCTTGCAGATGGAGACGCAGCCGGCTGGGGCCATGGGAAGCCAACTTGTGCTGGCTGCTTGGCTTTGAGAACTGAATTCCATAGGCGTTAAAGCATCCAAAAATGCCCTATGGATTCAGTTCTGCAGTTGGGCAGCAAATAAGCTTCAACCCTTCAAGATGAGAGAGCAGCTGTGAGCTGTTCCTGTGGGGAAAGTAGAGCTCTTTGCTCCCGCGCTGGGAAGAGATGGTAGGGATGGAGGTGAGCTACGGCCACCGCAGGAAACTTGCATTCAAGGGCTGTTTGCAGCAGGCTTTCTCTCAGCTACCCATGGCTGGAGAAAGCAGTGGGGGGAAGAACCCAACTACGAATGTTTCTGCTGTCTGGAAGTGGAATGGCACTTCAGAAAATAAATATCTTGCTGCCTGCTGATTTATTGCATGTGATTGTAAACCTGTGCTAAAAATACACATTGTCAGAAGAACAGCCTGGGCGTGCCCACCAATCTCCCGTACAGAGTCCGGGCAGCGAAACCAAACAAAACTTTGGAGAAGATAAACAGAAGAGGCCCAGTAAAGTTAAGGGCTGTGCCTGCTCCCTCCCGTCTGTCCCCGGAGACATCCCCAGCAGGAAGGCTGCGGGCGCAGAAAGCGAGGAAGAGCCCGTGGCAGGTATTTGGGCAGCTCAGCAGTGTTCCTGCATGGAAAGCTTTAGTGGAGGCAAATGGCTCTTTTTCCACCAATCCCTTTTATACCTCTGGAAGACTTTGGCCAGCTGCCTCAAGTTTCAGTATCTTCTACTACAACATAGCGCAAAGCCGTCACCAGGCTGGAAGGGTGACATTTGGAATAAAATATCATGCAGGTCCAGGTAATATTTGTAGCATTAGAGCAGCAGCAGCAGACAAACCCCGTACTCCTCTTCTACCTTTCCTTGAGGGTCTCATCTGAACCAGTCTCTTCTCAGCACCTTTCCCTCAGCCCCACTGGGTCGCAGGCCCACGGCAGCCAGCATATTTAACCTGCAGCCATGCAGCCCTCCCAGGGCTGTTTCCAGCTCTGGCTCCCCAGCCACATCCATAAGGGATGCAGAAAAACACCCCTTCTGCCCCCTCCCACCCCCATGAGAGTGCCACATTGGCCGCACAGGGATTTGATGCACAAACTTCGGGTTTGCTGCTTTAGCCACTGCCCCAGGAGCACAACACGAGCGCTACAGCAAGCCTGCCTGCAGACTGGCCCAGCAGGCATCCAACCGCAGGTGTCCTACCAGCACAGGATGCTCCGCCTAGCCAGGGATGAGTGAGAAATTATGACAGGAGTTGCTGGGTTTTTTCCTGTACTGGCAACCAAGGGCAGAACTGATTAGCTGCCAGCTATTAGCGAAAGTCTACTCTGTCCCATTCAGTAAGTGCTTCTGCTGCCGTTTGTAACACAGCCAAGAAATATCAGCTCAGCCTGAGGTTTCTGCAGCAGTTTGTCTGCTTCGGGCCTATCACTGCTTTATCTGGGTGTAGCATTTAGCCATTTCCAAGAAGCTGTTTGGGGAACGGGAAATCCAGATCATTGCTGAGACATTCTGGCAGTTGCTTAAATGAACAAATGCAAAAGAATTGCTGCATTATTCAAACAAAAAAAATGCACTAACTTTGCTTTTGTAGAAATTCAAAGTCCCTAAGGGCCCCCAAGTCCATTCTCACAGACCCTCTCTGTTGCCATGCAGACCAGGAGCTCAGTTCCCTCCTGTATTAAGAAGCTTTTCTGCTCCACAGCCAGTCTGGGGAAGGCTACAGAGGGGACAGAGCAGGCCCTCTATTTTCCCTATATATTCAGAAAGTCCTCGCTAGTCCATAAAGAGGAAGCTTCCAGGCAACACCCAAACTGAGGTAAGACAAGGTGATGCAGAATAGCCCATCAAGGCTGTGCAAGAGGAACAAGTCAGAAAGTTATGCCTGAAGCGGGGAACAGGATTTGCTGGGGAAACTACCTGGGGCGAGAACAGGGACAAAACATCTCAAAGGAAATTGAACTTGCACAGAGACTATGATAAAGACTGTTTCAGCATCATAGCCTTGTCCAGAAACATCAGAAGACTCACAGTCGCGCCTTGCAACAAAATCCCTCACCCAAGCTACAGTGTCTCACCAAGAAAAGAGGGCCATTAGCCAGGGCACCCTTGCCTGTGGTTACAGCATCAGCTTTGGAGGACCCAGCTATGCTAGAAGTCACAGCACCAAAAGAAACTTAAAGCTCAAGAGCAACCTAAAAAGCAAAACACCAGATTAAAAGCTGCAACAGAGAGCAAGAAAGCGGAAGAGCCTGAAGTCAGGGAGGTTGAGCTGCCCATTATCTTCATCTGGCCACCAGCAAGTTTGTGTGCTACGGATATCCTCCTTACCAGCCCCACTTCCCCCTCTGCAGGGCCACTGTCTCTCCCAGGGCACAGGCTGGACCCTTCTGGGAAGTCCACAGGCACTGTGGACTGTGAAACAGCTGAGAGAGCTCTGCTCCATCCAGCATCGGACATCAGGAAGGGGAAGAGGCAAAGGAGAAAACTGGTGTCCCAGCAGGGTCTAAGGGCAGGGCCAGGGAACTTGAATCCTTCCGCAGTAACTTTTCACACAAGTTGTTTTTAATGAGTTAAAAAATTCCTCCTCTTCAGGACACCCAAGAAGAAAAAGCAATCCTAGCCATTGCACTAAGTTGCTCTAGTCTCTCAGTGACAAGGTATGGGCCTTGATAGCTGCAGTGTTTTTGCCCCCCTACCCAGTGCACTGACATAACAGCTACTGGGAGCCCAGAGCTTTCAAACCAGGCAAAGTTAGCAGGCTCCAAGCAACCTGTACCACAGCCAGGGGCTTGCTTCAAATCAGCCTGCAATGCTGAGGCCTTCCCTGCCATTCATGGTGACCAAGACCTTGTGCTCATCCCCACTTCAGAACAGATGGGGAGTGTTAAAAACTGAATTCCTGCTACTCAAGGGCTATAATTTAAGCTGCACATTGAATAAAACAAGTTCCTTTGGGAACACACAACTCAGGGATGAAGCTTCCATGGCATCCCCCTGTTAAGGGCAGCGCTCAGTTACAAACCACAGCAAAGGAGAAGACGCCTAACTGGAGGAAGGGACTGAGCCACATGTTTCAAGCTCCCAACTTGACAACTTACTGCACTACAGGTTATGGAGTTGTTCACAGAAAAAGACTGCTGTCCAGTAGCTCAAAAACAACAACAGTGGCTATTTGCATTTGGGTTTTTATTATTTATTAATAATGATTTAAAAGGTACAGAGGTTTGCAAGCAAGTCCTTCACACCCCTCCACATTTCCAGTACAACTCTTTGAAGTCCACCCTTCCAAGAGACCAACCTGCAGAAGCACTGTAGTTCACACAACTCCAGTAACCTGACCGGAGAATCAGCATCTCCAGCCAAAGCCAAGTTAGACCCAAAGCAGGGCCTTGAGCAGTGATTTGAACAAGGACACACTGCCAGGAGAACTAAGCACCAGACCACTAAGTGTAAGGGGATAGGGACCCCAAAATCTTCTGCCAACGTGTAGGAAGTGTTGTGTACAACCATCACACGGTGAGTAAGCACAACAGTATGGTCATAAAACAGCAGTGACAAGGTATGCAGGCAACCACCCTCTTTACAGTGTTTAAGAGCTTCCCCTCTGGGACCTGCACTGCTTCCAACTTGGAGGAAATTTAGTTTTGGTCTCCTTATAGGACTGCCAGGAAGGGAGCCAGCTTCCAGGGACTTCCCTTGGGCAGTGAAGGAAGAGGCCCATCTTCTGCCAAGGGCTGCTGTCTGGAAATCCCCCCCCCACCAGACTGATCACTCAAAGCAGTGGAAGACAAACATTCATTTCAAAGCCAGGACCAAAAAGGGCTGATCCCAAAGAAAGTCAGGGCCACACAGTCTCTTCACAGGATGGGCATCGTGCACCATGCATTACACCAGCTAAAGCTGCCGTAAGCTTGTGGAGGACAGGGAGCAGTTAAAAGTCAGCAGGAGTGGTGGCATCCATTACTTGCACTACTGCACTAAGAACAGCTGCCAACCAGCTCCCACAAGAGCTCTGGAGCATCTGCCCAGGAGGTGACTGACTACATCAACGTCTCAATTTCTTTTTCTTCTTCCGGTTCCGGTCCTCGCTGCTGTCATCTGCCTCGCTGGCACTGGGAGTTAGAGCCCGCTGGATGACCTTTTTTTCCACTGTGTATTCCTGCTCTCCTACCTTGGGGTCTCCTTTGACCAAGAACTCCCCATTCCGATAAGTTATAGAGACATTTGTCCGCGGGTAGGTGCCATAAACCCTCCGGAGATCATCCTTCACAAATTCTGGGAGTTCTTTCCTTGGTCCAAACACCTTCCCAAGCTTCCCCCACTGAAGCTCCCCTCTCATCGTGAAGCCTTCTGGCCAAGTGTCTCGATACTGATCTGGCCTCTGGTAAGTGGTGTAAGGATTATAGTTTGCATAGGGATTGTACAGAGGGATAGGGACCACAGGGGGTAAGTGCCAAGTATAGTATGGATGGAAGTAGGGATTGGAGGCACTGTAGAGATGATGATACTCCACCTGATTTCCCACATAGTCAGGGTAACTGTTCCGGTCCACCACAAAGGTGATGGGACGGCTGTAGAGGTTGTGCATGTGGATGGGAGGGAACATCATGGAATTCGTTGTGTCATCCACTCTCCCAGTTCGCAGCGGTAGGTAGGCACAGGCAGAAGGTGGGATCACAGCTGGGCAATACTCCCGTGGCACAAACCCAGACTGGTACATGGTACAGGAGCTGGGGTTACATAGGGGACATTTCTCCAGAGCAGCTGTTGAGTCTCACAAGCTGTGAGGACAGGAGGAAAAAGAGGAAAAACTTTAATTTATATTAGTTGTACGTGTCCTAGAACCAAACTGGATTTTAAAAAACATATCCCTAGCACTGTAAACATAGCAGCTAATTAACAGGAGGAGCTCCCCGCATCTGCAGCTGGCAGGGGTTGTAACATACAAAGAGAACCTGCATTGCCAGAAACTGCCTGTTAGCTGCTCAGCAAGACTCGTTATTTAACCCATGCAGCTCTCTAGGGGTTATAAGAACGGGAATGAACTGTCATAAAACCACCAAGGGCAGAAGAGATGGCCTTATTTTCATGATACAGCTTTGCAGAGTTGGGAGGTAGCAAGACAGACTGCAAGAAGCTAAGGTATCCTTGAGCAGGCATCAAAAATGGGGAAGGTGAACACAAAAGGAAGAATCTTGAAAATAAAGCAAGCAGGCAAAGAACAGGAAGAGCAGACACAGCCTGGTCCTGTTGCTGCACCATGCTTTTCTTTCAGTTGCCACTCTGCCTGGACAAGGAGCTCTGTTAATCTTTTTTAGCTGTCCTCAGGCCCCCCTCTGCCCCCAGCCATATCCAACTTGGAGTGAGTAAAAAAAAGTCACATATCTCAAAACCCTGCTTTCTGCTCCAATTGGAAGAAAAAAGCAAGAAAAGCATTTGA